TGGCAATAAATTTCAACAAACGTATGTTTACAAATTCGTTGCACTGTTGGTTATCACAGTTGTATCCAGAGCTTTAAATATTTGTCACTTTTTCATCAAAGTCCAACAGGTTGGTTCATTTACCTTAGAACACCCTTTGACAAGATGTATTATTCTCTTCTTCTCTGTTGTTACAATATAATCAGTGATAGATTCACTTATGTTACCCCGTGGGTTTCCACAGTTGTATCTAGAGCTTTCAATAATTCTCTTATATTTCAAAAGTCCACACAAGCTGGTTCAGTTATTTTAGAACCCAATTGACAAAACTAATTCTTCTTCTTTTTCTATGTTATTCCAATACAAGCTGTGGTACTTTTATTTTAGAATTCGCCCATTATGGGTAAACAGACAATCATGCAGTTTAACTTCATTTTTTCACTTTTACTTTCATTTACTTACTTCCTCTCCCTCTATCTACATATATTTATAACACACAACAGAAAAATCTAGAAATATCTAGCCCTCTAGTAACAACAATAATAAACATAATGAGAAAACCTTAGAAGCTTTGAGTAAGATGATGTCAACAATATTACTAAAGCCTAGTACAAAAATTAAACCACATACACAATGTACGACTTGTACAGAGTTACATAATGAAACTCATCATAACCATTGCTTTTAAAATTATTAAATTTAACACTTTTTTTCTGAAAACTAATTAATTATTAAATCACAAATAGACTAAATAATAACTCTTAAACTAAACAGTCTTGTATATATATATATAACACCCAGCTACATTCCTTTCACTACTGTTTGTTGTTATGCAAAAAGAGCCTGGATCTAGTAAGAATTCATGAGGATGAAACTGCAAGTAATAGTTCTTATGACAGTAACCAAAACAGGTCATCCACAGTACAACAGCCATCCAATACCTTCTGAACAAGGGAACCCATTAACACTAACATCTCATTTCCTTTCAAATACAAGTTTATTCCAGGCCAAAGACAACTATGATGCAATACCACTCAAGTGTGTCTCTGGCTGTACATATACAGTCAGTACTTTCAAGAATTTCAACTACACTTTGTACTGGACAACATCAAGAAAATATTTAATAAAACTGTGGGCTTCTCAAAATACTTCAATCTGCATGATTGAAAAATATTCAATAGTAACCACATAAAATATCGGGTACACAAAGTTTACATTTATTATGACTTAAGTACTGTTTGTGAACGTCACTTTCTACACTTTCAATCCAATTGAAATGTTAATTGCTACTGCTAGTGAAAACATTTCAATTGGATTTTTTTAAAGATTTTTCTTCCAAGTGTTGTCTGAACCTAGATGCTCCTCTATGTCTTTTCCATGAAAATCCATACTTACC